GGAAGTCAGCCAGTATGGGCAGTCTTGCTTATATTCCAGTCAGTCAGAGGCCGCTTGCCTTAGATGTTCAGGCTTTAGCCAATCAGTTCGTGAGACTGGATGTTTCTGAGCCCAGTCGTGTGTTAGCTTGCACGGTTGCTCGTTCTTCGTTATTGGAGCGTATCCGTGATCGGCAGTTTGACGATCCCCATTTATGTGTCCTTAGAGACACGGTGCAGCGAGGAGGTGCCAAGCAGGTTACCTTAGATGATGATGGTGCTTTGAGATTGCAGGGGCGAGTTTGTGTGCCTAATGTCGATGGGATCCGAGAGTTGATTTTAGAGGAGGCCCATAGCTCCAGGTATTCCATTCACCTGGGCGCCGCGAAGATGTATCAGGACTTGCGGCAGCATTATTGGTGGCGTAGTATGAAGAAGGATATCGTAGCATATGTGGCTCGTTGTTTGAATTGACAGCAGGTTAAGTACGAGCATCAGAGGCCTGGCGGTTTACATCAGAGGATTGAGCTTCCCGAGTGGAAATGGGAGCGGATTACTATGGACTTTGTTGCTGGACTTCCGTTGACCCGGAAGAAGTTTGACGCGATATGGGTTATTGTTGATAGGCTGACCAAGTCAGCGCATTTCATTCCTGTGGCAGTCTCCTATTCTTCTGAGAGGTTCGCTGAGATCTATATTCGGGAGATTGTTCGCCTTCATGGTGTGCCCGTGTCTATCATTTCGGATCGGGGTACGCAGTATACCTCACGCTTCTGGAGAGCGGTTCAGCGAGAGTTGGACACACGGGTAGACTTGAGCACAGCATTTCATCCCCAGACGGACGGTCAGTCCGAGCGGACTATTCAGATTTTGGAGGATATGCTCCGAGCTTGTGTTATTGATTTTGGAGGTTCGTGGGATCAGTTCTTGCCTTTGGCGGAGTTTGCTTACAACAACAGCTACCAGTCGAGCATCCAGATGGCTCCTTACGAGGCTTTATATGGTAGGCGATGTCGGTCTCCGGTGGGATGGTTTGAGCCGGGAGAGGCTCGGTTGATAGGTACGGATTTGGTTCAGGAGGCCTTGGACAAGGTCAAGATCATTCAGGAGAGGCTTCGTTCAGCTCAGTCTAGGCAGAAGAGTTATGCAGACCGTAAGGTTCGAGATGTAGCTTTCATGGTTGGTGAGCGGGTATTGCTCCGAGTGTCGCCTATGAAGGGCGTGATGAGATTTGGGAAGAAGGGCAAGCTTAGCCCTAGGTACATTGGCCCGTTTGAGATTCTTGATCGAGTGGGAGAGGTGGCTTATAGACTTGCGTTGCCGCCCAGCTTATCAGCCGTGCATCCAGTTTTCCATGTATCCATGCTTCGGAGGTATCACGGCGATCCTGCCCACGTGTTAGATTTCAGTTCTGTCCAGTTGGACAAGGACTTATCCTATGAGGAGGAGCCGGTAGCTATTCTGGACCGGCAGATTCGTCAGTTGAGATCCAAGAGTTTTCCTTCTGTTCGTGTTCAGTGGAGAGGTCAGCCTCCTGAGGCATCGACCTGGGAGTCCGAGTCTGATATGCGGAGCCGTTATCCCCATCTTTTCCCCGACTCAGGTACTTCTTTCTCTTGTCCGTTCGAGGACGAACGGTTGTTTTAGAGGTGGAGAATGTGACGACCCAAAGGGTCATCACCTGTATTCCTACTCGCTCTGTATTTCTGAGGCCGTAAAAACCTCACTTGGGGGTTGCCTCGAGTTTGTGTGCGCAGTCCGGGCGCGTAGCCGGAACGTTTAAATATGAATTTGTGAGAAAAATAATAAATCCTGATGTTTTAATTGATTAAGTTTGACTTCGGTCAACGTTTTGGGCAAACGGACCCGGACCCGTGATTTGACGGTCCCGGAGGGTCCGTAGGAAAATATGGGACTTGGGCGTATGCCCGGAATCAAATTCCGAGGTCCCAAGCCCGAGAAATGAATTTTTGTGTGAAATTGTTTTCTGGAAATAATTAAGGAAATTGGAAATTGAAATTTGATTAGAAGACTGTGGTATCGGGCTCGTATTTTGGTTCCGACGCCCGGTACAAGTCTTATATACGAGTTAAGCAATTGCTGTGAAGTTTGGTTAGATTTGGACGTCATTTGACGTGTTTTGAGCTAGAAGCAGTAAATTTGATGTTTCATGGAAATTGGAAGGAAATCCTGGGTCTTGAGGCCTAATTTGATGCTTGTGATGTTGTTTGGGCGATTTGATCGCACGGATGAGTCCGTAGGATGTTTTTGAGTTTATATTTATGTTCGGTTGGGAGCCCCGAGGGCTCGGGCGAGTTTTGAGTAGGTCCCGGGAGGTCTTAGGCTAGACAGATAGCAGATGGTTGCAGGTTCAGGGGTTTCAGGCCCCCAGCGCGGCCGCGGTCATTTCCGCGCGGTCCGCGCTGGAAGCAGCGCTGCCGCGGTGCATTTCTGCGCGGTCCGCGTGGCTAGGTTCAGAGGGCCAGTGAATTCTAGGTCGACCAGCGCGGCCGCGCACCAAATCAGTGCGGTCCGCACTGGGTAGGTTCAGAGAGTCATTTTTCTTCCCTTCCTCGGCGCGGCCGCGGTGCATTTTTGTGCGGTCCGCGCCAGTCTTCAGCATAGTATATAAAGTCGGGATTTTCAGTCATTTTTCACTTTTTCAAAACCCAAAACATAAGAGGCGATTTTTCAGACGATTCCACTTCTTCAAAATGATTGGTAAGTATTTTCTAGCTGATTTTCTTTACTCCTTAACATCCTTAAACATAATTTCAACTTCAAAACAAAGATTTTAATGGGGAACTTGGGAATTTAGGGTAGAACCTAGGTTTTCTAAAATTGGGGGTTTTGGACCTCAATTCGGGGTCCGATTCCAAAATAACTTACATATTTGAGTTCATGGGGGAATGGGTAAACGGGTTTTGGTTCGAACCTCGGGTTTTGACCATGTGGGCCCGGGGGCATTTTTGACCTTTTGGGGTAAATTGATGAAAAAGCTATAATTAGTCATTGGGTTTGATTTGTTTAGCACATATTGATATCATGAAGTCCTTATTGCATAGATTTGGTCGAGTTGGAGCCGTATTCGAGAGGGAAAGCGGTTGTGGAGGATTGTATTGGCCGTGGAAGTTGAGGTAAGTGTTTGGTTTAACCCTAGCTTGAGGGAATAGGAGTCGAGTCTTGTTTGCTAATTGCTAAATGATCGAGTACGATGTATAGGCATGGTGACGAGTTCCTATACATTGGGGTCTAGCATGACCGTGAGTCCTTATATGTGAGTTGTTTGGATATTGTTATGCCTTCCGTGTTATTAATGGCTTCTATATGTGGTAAACACCTTGTGGAAGATATTGTGATTGTAGAACTTCGTGGAGCATTGGCTCGGTCTGAAATACAAATGGTGAGAGCATGTGAAATGAGAAATGCCTTAGAGCTTGACACGAGTGCTAATGAGAGTTAGGATATGGAAATGAAAGAAAAAGAGAAATAATGATTTACTCTTGCATGGTTGTATTGGTTGTTTGTGTACCCTTGTTGGGATTTCCTTCCAAATACTTGTTTACTCCCTTGCCCTTTATTTGTGACTGTTGTTTGGGCAAGGTTGAGAGGTATACATTACGGATCGGGTTGCGCGCCGCAACAATGTTATATGAGGATCGGGTTGCACGCCGCAACAGTGATAATTATGGATCGGTTTAAACGCCGCAACAATGTTATATGTGGATCGGGTTGCACGCCGCAACAGTGATAATTGTGGATCGGGTTGCACGCCGCAACAGTGATAATTGTGGATCGGGTTGCACGCCGCAACAGTGTTGAAATGTATTAGGGTCGGGTTGCGCGCCGCAACAGCTATTGATGCAAAATGTGTTTAGTGTTGGTGTTAGTTTCTTGTTCGCCTTAAATTTTAAATTGCACCTAGATTGATTACTTTGGATTTACTGTTAATGTTGTTATCTCCCCACAACATGTTTCCCTTCCCATACTGTTAGTTGCTTTGTACTTCGATTTCTGCTGTATATTTATAATTGCACAGGTTATGTGAGGTCCAGTCTAGCCTCGTCACTACTTCGCCGGGGTTAGGCTAGGCACTTACCAGCACATGGGGTCGGTTGTGCTGATGCTACACTCTGTGCATTTTTGCACAGGTCCAGGTATTGAGCAGCAGCAGCAGCATTAGCTCGGGGGCGAACCTTCAGTCCAGAGAGACCCGAGGTAGCTTGCAGGCGTCCGCAGGCCCGGCGTCTCCCTTCTATCTTTACATTTGGCTGTCATCTCATTGTACCCGAGATAAACAGATTGTGTTTTCTTTCAGACTTTGTATGTAGTACTCCTTAGATGTTCGTGAGTATGTGACTCCAGTCCCGGGGTAGAGATATATGTGATGGAACTTCTGTATAATTGATCATCTATCTACATTTAAGTCTTTCGCTTATGCTTTTAATTCCGTCGCCTTTATTTAATGCCGTTAACAGTTAAAAAGGAACATGTGTTTAAGGAATTTGTTAATTAAGTTGGCTTGCCTAGCTCCGTTAGTAGGCGCCATCACGACTCCCGATGGTGGAAAATCCGGGTCGTGACACTTCATCTCTAATTTTAGATGAACTTCAATTGAATAATAATAATATTTCAACTTTAATAACTTTCCCTTGTTAAATGTGGCATCAATTGGGAGGGAGAGGAGTTATAATAAACACAAATATGACCAATTTTTCTAACTTTTGTGTTTTGACTTGGAATTAATCTAAAATAAAGCTTATTAGAGCATAATAACCACACACACAGGAAAAAAAAAAAAAAGACACGTCCAAATTGGATTTAAAGGAAAAAAAAGCTCAAATAATGGTACCAAATAATTCCAAAATAAAACTCATTAGAACATAATAACCAAAAACAAGACACACGTCAAAATTGGACTTAAAATGAAAATAAAAAAGCTCAAATAATGGTAGAGAGAAAAAGTCAGCAAATTAAATTTTATTATAAAGTCACCTCTAAAAGGTCAGATATCATGTACCATCATCACTAGCTACCAGAAACGTCTCACCCTTTTGTTAGCACCAAAAGTCTTCTTGTCCTTCTAAAATCTCTTCAACATTAGCAACCCTACTATTTACAACTACATAAAATTTTTGTTTTCTTTCCAATTTGCCGACCCCAACTTATTTAGAACTGAGTCGTATTATTTTTGTTGTAACAAGTAACATCGCTCTCTGGTCCAGCATCTCATTTGTTCTCATCGATCCCCCCTATGTAAATTCTCATTCACCACAAAAAATGTCAATTCCAAAACATGGGCACAGATGCCACAGATTTTTCAAGTTTATAATCCCATCAATTACTTGTCTAAATTAAACTTGAAAAGTTACGTTGTTGCCAGATCAGATATTCCCTTTTGTTGATAGCATATCTCCACCTCTAATAGTGTGTGTTATTGACTTATCAATTAAGTCGATAACAGAAAAGGAAGATTCGTATTCCTTTGTTTTTCTGGAAATTAAAGACAAATGATGATCTGTTGGGATAACGAGTTCTCACGTGAAGTAGTAGGGATGGCTTGGATTATGCTAAGGATTGATTACTCAAGGCTTTTTTGGCTATTGTTTGGTGTTTTCTCTTACGAAAATCATGAAGGAAAACCTCGGATTTCCCAGCATTTCTCTCTCTCTCTTTCTTTCTTTTCTCGCTCTTAGTCACTAAAAAGTGTTAATTATTCTGTCCTCCGGTGGACTGAACTCTGCCAAGAGGTTCTTTTTCTCACGTCCGTTTCATTTCCCTTCTTTCACCAAGATAAACAACTACTTCTCCGGCTAATAAAGTTTAGTGAAAATAATATAGTTAGCAATATATATATATATACACACAATCTTCAAAAGAAAAAGAAGAAACTTTTCTTTTGATTCATTCACCATGCATAGAGTTCGAATGTTTGAATTAAACTCGGAGTTGGAATATGTGGAAATTGATTCATCAAAACGCTATGGACGTGTAAGTTTTTCATATCCTTTTTCTCTTTAATTTTTTTAAGGTTTAATATCCTTGTTCTTAATGGTGATTAATGCTTTGCGCTTAATCGAGTGAATCATCGTCTCTTTGCGAATTACTCTACCAATTAATACGTTTAATTTCCTCTTTTTCTTCTTTTTGATTTTAATTTGTCAAGTCTAAACTTTTTTAATTGGAAGTTTTTTGATTTACAACTTTGCAACTCTTTCAGTTTCTCATACAAAACAAAATTAAAACCAACTTTCATATACTTCTACCGTTAGATCAAGATTCTTTCTAACAAAAAATAGTAGAGATTTCTTCTTATCCTTGTTATGGTAGGTAAAACTATTTAATGTTTATGCTAATAAAAGATTGCAAGTATTGGTGAAACAATACAAGTGTGCGCAAATTGATTCGTAAGAAATAGCATGCTATAGGCCGGCAAATGTTAGTTGAAAACCTCCAAATGGCGGACCTCATCATTTGTAATTAAAGAAGCATGTTGTGAAGCAAGTTGACTTTTAGAAGAAATATTTTTATTTGTCAATTCTTGATAAAATAATCCTTTTTTTAATTTCGTTTTTGGTTGGTGATGAACCACCAAAACTTGTGTGGTATAAGGATTTTGGCAGATTACTTTTAGAATCTTATCACATTTAAAAGAAATACTAATTAATTAAGCTAGGAAGTCATAATTGATAATATATTTTGATGATGATGCTTATACTGGATATAAAGGGGAAATATCAAGAAACAGTGTTATTAGTCTAAATACACAATAAATTAATGGTGTTTCGATTATCCGTCACATGATTACACTGTTGACAAAATGTATATATACTCCTATATTGGTATTCTGCGTTCTAAGGTTAGATTGAATTAAATACTTAATTATAGTTTGAAATTGGGAATATAACGACAATATGTAAATGCAAGGAAGAAAAAGATCTATGTGATACCATTTAATTGAGATTAAATTTAATATGATACTTTAGTTAGGTTCAATATTTGCTAGGAGTCTCGTAGTCTTGCAGATACTTATAAGCTAATAGAAGAAAAAAAATACTTCTAGTAATAGACAAACTAATTTTTAAAAACTAGTATTTGACTATGACAAGCTTAAAAGAAGTAACACGTTGAACAATAAGGATTCACATAACTGATCACAACTTATTTGAGATTGAAACACTGTTATAATAGTAGTTGTAGTGAAGCTAGAAGAATATGATTTATTAGTATGATATCTTTTATCCATCGATGGCTATCACTACCTAGAGTTTGACTGCATTCTTTGAGTTTGACTGCATTCTTGGATTCAATATTATTTCATCTTGCTGTTATTCCTAGTTGTTGAAATTATCTTTTCTTTTCTGTCGTTCTCTAACTGAGGGTCTATCGGAAACAGCCTCTCTGCCCTTCCAGGGGTAGGGGTAAGGCTGCGTACATCTTACCCGCCCCAGACCCTACTTGTGGGAAACTACTGAGCTTGTTGTTGTTGTTATAAGCTACTAATTGTAATTATGATTAATAACTTCCTTTGCAGTTCAAAGAAATCCTTGGAAAAGGAGCAACAAAGATAGTGTATAAGGCATTTGATGAGTTACTAGGAATAGAGGTAGCTTGGAACCAAGTGAAACTGAATGATGTGTTTAGATCACCTGAAGAATTACAAAGGCTCTACTCAGAAGTCCATCTCCTCAAGGAACTTGATCATGAATCCATCATGAAATTTCATGCATCTTGGATCAATGTTGAAGGCAGAACCTTCAACTTCATCACTGAAATGTTTACCTCTGGCACTCTTAGAGAGTAATACATCCACATCCCATATCTTGACTTTTTTTTTTTAATTATATATACCGATACTGCAATTTATCTGTGCGGTTTAACCAGTTATAACATATTATATATTATTCTATTTTCCTACATAGTTACCAACATATTATGCTCTATGACTTTATATTTAGTGTACTGATCACAGTGAAATGAATCTTTATATTATCAGGTTAGGTTGATGACCTATAATAATAGGTAACTCTTCATTATAAGCCTGGCATGATAACTTAGGAAATAAAACAATAACCTGCAATAAAAAGTAAATTAAAGTGATAGTATAACATTTCTTTTTCTCAATCCGTGCATATAACTTGAATTCATAGTAGTTGATGTGAGAGTTATCTATTGTAGTAAGTCAACATGCAAAAACTTTCAGTGTCTATTAACATAAACTCGATAAAGTAGGAGTAATTTTCAAAAATTGGTAAAGTTATTTAGACTGACTGTTTTTTTCTTGATGTAGGTATAGACACAAGTATAAGAGAGTAAATATACATGCAATCAAGAACTGGGCACGACAAATCCTCAAAGGTCTTGCTTATTTGCACGGTCACAATCCTCCAGTTATACATCGAGATCTGAAGTGCGATAACATCTTTGTCAACGGACATCTTGGTCAAGTCAAAATTGGTGATTTAGGCTTAGCGACCATACTATGTGGATCACACCATGCTCATAGTGTCATAGGCAATGACCTCACCTACTATTATTTTTCCTTTCTTGAATATCTTTGATAAATTTCTGGCTCCGTCACTGATTGCTAAAACTATACTGAATGTTCTGTTATCCTAATTAGGTACTCCTGAGTTTATGGCACCAGAACTATACGAAGAGGATTATGATGAACTTGTAGATGTATACTCTTTTGGCATGTGTGTATTAGAAATGCTCACTTCTGAATATCCATATAGTGAATGTTCAAATCCAGCTCAAATATACAAGAAAGTGACCTCGGTAAGATCATGAACGTGTCTTCCATATCTTATTTTCATGATAAATATTTACACGATCAAATTACTTATATAACACGTAACCTTATGTAACATGTTAAATCACACTGATAGTGTAACATATTTTTGTCTGACAGGGAAAGCTACCAAAAGCATTTTACAAGATCAGTGATGCTGAAGCCCAAATATTTGTTGGAAGATGCTTGAATCCTGCTTCTGAAAGGCCATCTGCTTCTGAGCTATTGAGGGATCCATTCCTTGCTGTTGATGAGGATGAACAATTATCTCCTGTCATAAATTTGCCATGTCATCAAAAGTTTACACCAAATGGGGAACAAAATGAAGCACCTTGTCAGTTTGATGATTCAGTACTAGGTGGCACAGACATGACAATAACAGGAACAATGAATCCTGAAGATGATGCCATCTTTCTCAAAGTACAAATTTCTCAAAAGAATGGTAAATTGCTTCACCATTTATTTTTCAGAAATAAAGAATTGTAGTTCAAGAACTTGTATGCAAGACTCAGGATCTTAATCTCTTTATGGTCGTCTATATATATATGTTAAAGAGGCAGCAAATGAGCGAGTTAGCTTAAATTTGGGTAGTTAATTCAATAAGGATCATGAACCAGCCAGTCCAAAACTTACTTGTGTCAAAATAGATCAAATAACATGTCATAACCCAACCGGCTCAACATGAGATAACCTCCGATTTACTTATTTATTCATTCTTGCTTTTTTGAAAAAGAAAAGTGAAAGCTAATGTATTTTTTTTAAAAAAAAATTATCAGCTTAATTAAGTTCTTCAAATTTTATATAATTCCCAGTCTTTAAATTTGATTTTGTATGTTTAGGTTTGTATGCATCTTGACCTGCTGTGTTACACTATTATGTGTCACAAATTAAAAAAAAAGCCAGATTTACAAGTGGTCATTCAAAAATAGCCACGCTTTCAAACGTAATCGAAATTTAGTCACTTTTCATATAAAGATAAATTTGAACGAAAACACTGTTCAAAATCTGGAAAAATACTCCAGTATAATATACTGGAGTTCCAGTATACTATACCGGTCCAGCATAATATACTGGAACTTTCTGCATGTTGGAGTTCCAGCATAATATGCTGGAAGTTCATACACAGGTGCATCGGTCTCCAGTATATTATGCTGGAACTTTCCGTGTTGCAGCAAAATAGTGGCTATTTTTAATGACTTTGCAAAAGTTGGCTATTTTTGAATGACCAGTCCAAAAACTGGCTAGCCCGTACTATTTTTTACCTATTCTGTCCCTTTTGACCCAATAATTTAATGGGTCATTTCGGGTTCAACCCATTGGATCAAGCCAAGAAAGGGGATATAATCCAACCGTTTAAACTGGGACGAGTTGCTAAAAAAGGGTTGATTTGGCCACCTATCAGTGGCGGAGGCAGGATCTCCATGAAGGGGGTTCAAAAAAAAATTGTAGCTAGTGGGAATTGAACCTCTGACCTTAGGAAGGTTTTGAACACCCTTGATCACTAAGCTACACTTTTGGGTTCTGTTAAGGGGGTTCAAAACTTAATATATAGAGGTAAAAAACAGATTTTGCCTGAACCCCCTTCGGCCCCCCTAAATCCGCCTTATGTGCCTGCTTATCTAGTAATTGTCTAGTTTTATTTAAGGTGTCCTAAAATGTTACTCATTGGACTTGTCCATTTTTAGGCAAAGCGAGGAACATATTCTTCCCATTCGACATATCTAATGACACTGCAATGGAAGTGGCAGTGGAAATGGTGAAGGAGTTAGACATAACAGATTGGGATCCTCTTCAAATTGCTGATATGATTGACGAGGAAATTTCTGCTTTAATTCCAGCATGGAAGAATTCACAGGACTCTGTTCAGAATTATGAACAGCAGCATAGCTTCAACTACGTAGAAGATGATGACGAAAACCATCGCAATCCTTTCTATTACGTTTCTTCCCATTCTTCTTCTCAACTTTCTCTCCCTGCTCTCCTCCCTTCATATGAATGTCTTCAAGGTTTGTGCCGGTTTCTTTTTCCATGATTATGAAGTAATTTACGCGTAACTGGATTTAATTTTATCCCATATATAGTAAGGTCAAAAAATCTTTTTCCACTGACGGTAAAGTAACTGATCTTAGTTTACATACTATAACAATAAAGTTATAAAACTATTTTCGTCATATAAAAGTAATTGAACTTTTATCCATTATGGCGATAAAGTCAGTATGTTTGTCGTTATAGGGGATAAAGTACGGCGATTTTAGTTACTTCAATGTGACAAAGGATAGTTCTGTACTTTACCTTCATAATAGGTAAAGTTTATTGAGTTTACCAGTATAGAAAGTAAAATTCAATTACTTTAATGATACAAAAAATAACTTTGTGACTCTACTGTCATATTCAGTGATCCTACGTAAAATTAATTCAATGTCTATCCGCATCTTCTCATTGTTCCATGTTCTTATTTATTCGTATTGCAGATGAGTTGAAACTGTATGATGATTCAAGTTCTATGAACTCCTATGGATCCTACAACAACTTAAACTTTTGTTCCCTTCAGGAAGATGATGCTGATCATGATTTGAACTACAAGAAAGCAGAATCTCAGTACTGTACTGATCAGAAGACAAACAAATGTACTACAAGGTTCTGTCCTGGAACAAACATGTCCAAGAATCAGAGCGCGCTAATGAATCAACATCCAAAATTGACTAAGGTAAAATCGCTAGTTGATATCCGTAGTCAATTGCTGCATCGTTCTCTTGTAGAAGAGATAAGTAAGAGGCGCTTGTTCAACACTGTTGGTGCTGTTGAGAATATTGGCTATCACGATCCTGCCATCAACAAAAGCCATGGCTTAGGTTGGTGACCTTCATATATGCTCGTCAAAGGTTATCCCGATGGTTAATGTTGAATGTGTGTGAACAAAGATCTCACACCATGTTAAAAGTACCTTTGGACTGGCTTAGCCCAAATAAAACGAACAGAATGTGATCTCTCTTTCGTCAAGTCCTTTGGGACTTGAAGACAACGATGAAATATTTTTACTCATCGTCTGATTGTAAGATACTATTGAATCTCAAAACTTTCAAGTTTATGTTTATGTGAACTGCAGTTCCCTGCCATAAATATTTGTTGTAAGCTTGTGACAATATCCAACTTTTTCATTTTGGTTTAGCTCAATCCCTTAGCTGAAGAGTAAACATGAAGTCCTCAAATATCGGATACTTCCTCAAATGGAATACATAATGGTCCACACCAGATAAAAGGTCACATCTCAATTAGGAAGACTCATAAGTACGTTAACTCCTTATCAAATATTTCTCACGGTTCTGCCGAGGCACTAATCCCATGAGAGTAATGGCACGATTTCCTGTCATGGCGTACGGTCCGATTTCATAATAATAGTGTACACTACTGAGGTCGTACGGTCCGATCCATAGATGCATCTCATAATACTACCGAGGCGAACGACCCGATCCCATAATGGTACTGCTGAGGCATTCAGCCCAGCCCCATAGGAACACCGAAACTTAACGAATCACTAGCCCCACTCACTGAAACATAACTTTTTTCTCAGAACTCCATTTGGGCTCCACAATATATGGTTGGAAAGCTAATTCAAAGGGCTACAACTTTCATGTTTTACGTTTTTTCCAAATTCCAAACGGAACAGGGCGAAAAACGCGGTCGAAACCGCGACCGCGGAACTGACCGCGGCAGAAATCAGAGAGCTTGTCTGGCCGCAGTCCTACCGCGTTTTGACCGCGGCCGCGCCCCTCCAGGCGTCAAAAAGAAGTCCTATTTCGCCCGGGACAAGTTTATTTCGGCCCTACACTATTCCAACTTGTATAAAAGGGGTCCTAAACCTATTTTGAGGGGGGGGGGGGGTACATATTTTGGACACAAATTAGACCTAAGGAGGCAGGAGACACTACTTTAGGGTTAGACAACACCCTTGGAGACAAGAACACATTGGGAGCAAGGCGGAGAATTCTTCTACGAGTTTTTCCTTCCTCTTCCTATTTTTCAGTGTTGGTTATGACTTTTAGTATTGTAGTTTTACATACTATTATGAATAGCTAATTTGTTATCTAGAGTTTTGATAGAACCTCTTGTAGGATAAATTCTTGTTATGTTTTTATATAATTGAGCCATAACTTTTCTCTATTTGTTCAACTACGTTTATATTCTGGTTGATTGAAGAGCTCTCAATTAGCTGTGCCTATTTAGTATGCATAACTCGGGAGAGAGTGCATATTTAGGTAATTGTTGAACAACACCACTCCCAAAGTATATGAGGGATCAATAACGTAGGGTTTAAAGGCGGGATTAGGGATAACGAAGCCTTGGGTGCGATCTGAAGTGAGCTGTATTAAAAGCCAGCTAGCGTAGCTCGGGAGAGCGCGTCTAGTAAATTGTCGTAATTACTCGGGAGAGATTTACGGTAATAAGAGTGCTCATGATCGGTAGAGAATACTTAGGCGAAATTATAGAAGACATAGCGGGAAGGATTCCGACAATAGGGGAAATCATAACTCTAGACCTCCTTAATCTTTTCTCTAACCCTCAGTATCGTTAGTTGTTAATTTACTATTTTAATTTGTTAGTTAAGTTGTTAAACACAAGAATCTTAATATCTATAAGTTAGGAATTGTTCAAGCTTGTCTTCTCGGTGATAGTGAACAGCTGTAGCTAAACCTTAGTTCTGTGGGATTCGACTCCGGACTTGTAAACCGGATTGTATTTGCAACGACCGCATTGTCCTTTTTATAAGGCATAGTTGGGCGTGATCAAATTTTGGCGCCGTTGCCGGGGAACTAACGATGTAGTTGTAGGTGTACATATTGCTAGGTTTCAAGTTTGAACTTTTATTTTATTATTTGATTTTTTTATTTTTTATTTTTTTATTTTAGTTTTATTTGTTTATTTGAGAAACATGACATCATGGAATTATGAGAATTTTGTTGTTGGTAATTCTACTTTTGATCCTCCTTATGCATATTCTGAAGGAAACCACCCAGGGCAAAATTATCAAAATATTCCTGAGAGCGAGGTTTGTGCACCAACTCAATCTTATGTGTGGAATGTGTGTGATATGTGTGGTGGTCAAGATGGTCACTTTCACGGTTGTGCTTATATTTCTTACCTTCCCCCAACCCCTTACTTTGATGGTTCTTCTTTTTCTGGTGAAGTTAATAGGAACAAAGAACCTAGGGAAGCTGACCTAAAGAAGCTCGAAGATATGTTAAAGTGCATTTTGGAACAACAGAGTAAATTACTACTGCGGATAGAAAGGCAGGAGGAAACTATTCACAACTTGAAAGTTCACATGAGTCAACTGGTTGAAGTTTTTAATGCTCAATATACCAATATTGTGAATAGTATCCAAGAAGAGCGTGAATTAGATACAGAAATTGATGAGCTAGAGGAGGAGGATAGAGTAGAACACCAACAATCAATCACACTAGATTTTGAGGATGTCGATGTTGTAGAAGAGATACTAGAGTCAACCAAGGATATTGAGGATACATATTTAGTTGACTCTATTGTCATTAGTGTTGAGAATGTAGACAGTCCCAATGTTCATGTAGTTGAGCGCATTGGTCCTCACTCCAAGCATTTTTCCACATTCTGTTTAGATGATGATATGGAAATAGAGTCGTCCGAGCCATTTGAGGGGTCAAGGAATGATGAACAAAGTGCTTACATTCTGGAATTCTTCTTACCAGAAAGTCGGGATTACACACCTCATATAAAGGCCAAGAAGTGCAGAAGACTACATTATTTTATTGGGCTAGTCAGATTCGTTCCACCACCCCAGGAGCATGATCATAGAGCAGAATCAAAACTTGGGGTCCGATTCATAAGCTCGAGGTGGAGGCAAAAAGTGATTCGCGTCGTGCCACGACGTTAAATCAAGCGCTTGTTGGGAGGCAACCCAGCTTTATTGCTTTCTTTTATTTATTTTTTATTTTTTTTAATTGTATTATTTTTGTAGTGTTAATTTTTTATTTTCAAGGAGCATGGTAAGCAAAGGTATTGGAAGGATGCAACAGCAAACCAAATGGTTGGAACTAAGTGTGAGGTACTCGCACGAAGGACCCAGCTTGGGAGAAGTCTGAGTACCCCATGAACTGCTAGTGCTTCGGCCTTTGGCCTACCAGGGAGTTTCGTTTTACCCTCTTGTATGTATGGGTGTGCATTGGGGACAATGCACAATTTTAAGTGTGGGGTGAGGAGATNAATTACTTACACTCGACCTCGCTCGAGTTAGTTTAGATCTACGATCGACTACGCCAAAACACTACACACGAGCGCCGAAAAGCCAGGGACTTCACCGCATAGACAAACAAAAAATAACTACCGGAAAGACACAGGAAAAAGGTAATCATTCCATTACAATTGTTATATTACAAAACTTTTTACAAAAGGCCAAAAGACGCCCTCACAAAAATAGCAGGGCAAAATAAAAATAAGTATAACGACCCTACGTCGCGTCATCTCCTTCGGCGTACTCATCATTATACCAAGAGTCGGAACAACTTGTTAGTTTAATCCGGACAACTCCGCCTCCAGATCCTAGATCCGCTCTTCTAACCTCGCCACCTTGAGCGCCGACGTCTCCACCTCATTATCCCGCTCAGACCTACAAACACGGAGGGTGTCATCTAAGGCTGTTACTTCGGATACGGCAGCCACCCTGCCTTTTTCGGCAGGAGTCAATTCCTCGACCTTAACACCCAACTCGCCCCTCAGATCAATAACCTCTGTTTCCCTCTGCCCAAGCTCAGCAGTTAAGGAAGCCACCTGCACTTGAAGGTCGGCGTTCTCGGCCATCACCCTCTTGCTCACCTCGAGCTCATCCTCCTTAGCCTTAAGAGCTGCCTCAAGCTCGTTGCATCGACCTATGGCCTTCATCAGCTCATCATCCCGCTCTTTCAGCTCCTCAACTTTCCTCGCCAACTCCTCCTCTCTCTGTTTGAGTCCGTCATGAAATAGCTGAAACTCGCTATCTTGGTTAAAGACGTCGGTTAGCGCTCGATGCTTGGTACGGTATTCTTTTTACTTAGAGGTCACCTTCTTAAAAACGGTCGTCCTTCGTTCATCCCGCCGGTCGCGCTCAATCCCCATAATGAGAGTCTGACATGCAAAGGAAAGAAAGTCAGCATAAGCAGATTACGCATGCGAGACAAATCCTAAACAGTAAAAAATGCTTACTCTCAAATCCATGCCAGAAATACTCAGTGATAGCTCCGCATCACTCATCGTCTGAAGCGTCGCGTTCTCAGAAGCAGCGCACAAGGGGGCGAAGGACGACACCGCCTGTTCAGAATTAGCCAAAAGGCCGTAACCACGGGAATGATTACGTGTCGGTTAAGACTCTCCGTCCTCACTTCCACACGGGTGTTTCTCTCCAAAAAGGCCTGCACCTCTTCAGGATCGATGTCCGAGTCTGAACCATCGTCCTCTGCGAGCACCACTCCATCTCCTCCGGCTGCCAACGACGCACCACCTTCAGCAGCCTGTATAGGCTCCCCACCTTGATGTACCCCCTCGGCCCTAGGGTACCTCCCCGCCATGATAGCATCCGCCATAAAAACGGCCCCAGCATCTGGCACAAGTGCGGACGCCGCCCTCGGGGGAATTACCTTCCTTGTTTCAACACTAGTGGCGACGGTCTTCCCAAGTTCCATTCTTCGCCTCTTTCTCGATGGCGACTCCTCTCCGTTAGACGAATCATCTACAAGGTGGTAGATAGGTCGGGAAGAGATCTCATCCCGTGCAGCAGCATTTTGAGGAGAGTCCCTACCTGAAAGAGCTTGAGCACGACCTGCACGGACGGACTCAGCCAGAGTAAATTACATCCCTGCCGATGCAACAGCCTGGCGAAATGCCGGCGCTGGAGCTTTCTTTTTGGAAGCCCATCGACCTGTCACCATAAGGAGGTCGTATCAACAAATAACGGTAGACACCAGAAGGACAATACAAAAGTAACACTTACTAGACGAGACCTTAGGTCCAAAATGTTTGTAGAAAACTGCCCAATCTTGAATACCCACCATGTGTGGTAACACGCGAGCCACCCAGTCTTCAATCCCGACGACGGGAAAGGGTGCACGCCTCTCATCTAAAAAAAACAACACAAAGAAACCACAAATGAATG